AAATCTTCCATTAAGAAATCTCTTTAGTTTACAACAAGAGTTTCAACTCCACATTTAGTTTCATGATTGCTGCCTGATTATTGTCTAAATCATATTTTACAGAGATGTACATATGGCTGAAAATATTTCAACTGATGAGGTGCTGGTCCTGGGTGATGAAAGTATTAATTCAAATGTTATTCGTCAAACACAATTTGTTCTGTCAAAGGTTACAAAAGAAAGAAAGAAAAGGTCTCGAGCATGGAATCATTTTGGATCATTTGTTGATGAAGAAGGGAATAAGAAATCAAAGTGCAAGCATTGCGGTCAATATTATTTTGCTGATTTAGTTTAAAATGGTACAAAGGCAATGCTTACTCATATGTTAACATGTACAAAGATGCCTAAAAGTGTTGATAAAAGTCAAACTCAAATAGGCTTTCAATCTGTTCAGGGAGGGAATACGAGTGATGTGGTTGTTGTTTCCTGGAAATTTGAGCAAGAACAATATAGGAGAGCTTTATGCCACATGGTAATTGTGGATGAACTACCTTACAAGTTTGTCGAGAAGGAAGGTTTTAGAAACTTTATGAAAGTAGTGCAACCTCATCTTAAGATTTCTTCTCGTACCACTAGTCACACGTGATTGTTTTAAACTTTTTGATGAAGAGAAGCAAAAGTTGAAGAGATCTTTTGGAGAAGCACGACAAAGAGTATGTCTGACAACTGATACTTGGACCTCTTTGCAACAGATTAATTATATGTGTATCAGTGCACATTGGATCGATAATGAATGGATTATGCATAAGAGGATAATCAACTTCTGTCCAATTTCTAGTCATAAACACTACAAGAAAACTGCCCAATAGCGAAGGGAAAATTGGTCGCTATAAGTAAGAATCTGGTCCGAAAAAGGACAATAGCGACCAGCTGAACTTGTCCTTATGGCCTTAGTCGCTAAGGACCTTTAGGGACGAGATTATCGGGCCGGTCGCTGATTCTTTTTCGGGACTAGTATAATACTGGTCCCTAAAATACATTTAGGGACCATATATCTGGTACCTATTCGCACATATTGAAATCGAAATTATGGTCGTTAAATCATTTTGCGACTAGATTCTAGTTGGTCCATATATCATTTTAGGACGACTTCTATGCTGGTCCATAATCATTTTGCGACCAGTTTGAAATTGGTTTGTAAATCAGTTTGCGACCAGTTTTTAGCTCGTCAATAAATCAATTTACGAAAACTTTTAAGTTGGTCCCTAAATCATTTCGGGACCATTTTGAAGGTGATCCATAAATCATTTCGCAACCATTACAGATTTCCTACTCAAAAGGATTTTAAGGATTTACAATCTAGTCCTTAAATCACATTGCATTTGCACCTAGAAAATACGATAATTAATATAAACTTGGTGCTTTCATATATAATATATAATGTAATTACAAAATAAGGTGAGTATAAGGCATCTGACTATATACAACAATGAGGTAAGCTAGTAACAATATTGTGAGCATGAACGCTTAGCAAAAAAATCATATACTAGCCTTAAACTATAATCCAAAGTTGTCTTCACCTTCCCAGCAAAAAATGGTCAATCTACATGTTGTTTAACATCGGCTTTTTGCAAATTTCAGCATCCAAAATCTGTAAAAGAAATAAAACTTTCATTTAGAAGACCTATATATAAAGATAAACAGAAAGATGTGATTAAATCAAATAACAATTTCTGCAGCATCTGTAACACTAATTGCTGCAACAGTTGAGATTTTGGTCGCCATTTTTTGTGGGAAATTGTTGTACACAATACAGTGGTAGCAGTTGCAACACTAATTGCTGCAACAGTTAGAACTTTGTAGGCTATTTTATTTTAGGAAGTGTTGAACACAATATTGTCGTGATCAAAGATTATAGAAAATAAGCTCAAGGAGAAAGGTAGCACAAGGATGGAAATGGGAAGCAAATTATGAACACAGTGATAAGGGTATAATCTGGTTGATTTGGGATCCTCAACTAATTGAGTGCATAACTTTGAACAAGGCTGAGCAATATATACACGGCAGAGTAGTTGTGAAGAGGAACAACATGAAGTTCCAATTGGTGGTGGTTTGTGGCTTGCATACTATTCATACTAAACTTAAACTATGGGAAGATCTGAGAGGGATTTCCACAAGGACACAAGAACCTATGATATGCATCGGAGACTTCAATGTTATTCTCTCAGGTGAAGATAGACAACTAGGCAATCCATTTCAAAAGGGAGAAATAAGGGACTTTAATGAGTTTATGCTTGATACTGGTATGTCAGAATTGAAATCAATTGGCAGAACTTATACATGGTCTAATGGGCGTACTTGTAGCAAAATAGATAGAGCAATAGTGAATGGTGAATGGATGCTGAATATGATTCAAATGGAGGTCACTGTAATGAATCCAGGTACTTCTGATCATTCCCCTTTGAGTTTGGAGTTAGACAGACAAAGAAGATGCAGTCACAAGGCATTTATGTTTTTCAATTGTGTTGCTGAGCATCCAGAGTTTTTACAACGAGTGATATGAACGATATGAACGACATATGGCGAATGCTAAAAAGGGTGAAAACAAACCTTAAACAACTCAACATCATGGAGTTTAAAAAAGTGAGTAACAGGGTCAAAGATAGCAGAGGTCAACTGCATAGTCTACAAGAGAGTATGAGGGATCCTAGAGCAGTAGCCCTCAATAGACAGCATGAAAGGAGTTGCAGCTACAATTGGAGAAATGGAGAAAGATTGAACAAAGTGTTATTCAACAGAAGTCGAGAGTACAATGGCTAAAATTAGGTGATGCAAATACTGCATACTTCTTTGCTAACATGAAGAACAGGGTGGCTAAAAATACAATTACATGTCTCATGACCTCAGAAGGCATTAAAGCTCAGATGCAAGAAGTTATTGAATTGGAAGTTAATACATTTTATAAGGATCTGTTGGGCAAGGCTGCTCAGAATATACCTAGTGTGAGTACAACTGTCATGAAGAATGGAAATACATTAAATAGGGAGCAGCAAATACAACTAGCAATCAAAGTGACAAGGGAGGAAGTGATAATAGCATTGCAAGGCATACATTATATGAAGGCTCCTAGATATGATGGATTCAATGCTCATTTTTTTAAGAGGGCTTGCCCAGTAGTAGGAGAGGATATTATAACTGCAATATTATTGTTTTTTGAAACAAGAACTATGTACCCACCTATTAATTGTACATCGGTGACTCTAATTCCAAAAGTCGTCAGTCCTACAAGAATTGGGGAATATAGGCCTATTTCATGTTGCACAGTACTGTATAAGATCATTTCTAAAGTGATCACAACAAGGTTACAGAAGGTGATGAGCTCCATAGTTGATCCTAACCAGTCAGCATTTGTACCAGGGAGAGCAATCAATGGCAATATCATTCTAAGCCATGAACTAGTGAAAGGTTATGCTAGGAAAGGTATTTCTAAAAGGTGTATGGTGAAGGTGGATATGAAGAAAGCTTATGACTCTCTTGAATGGAGCTTCTTGGAGAAAATTTTATATGAGATGAAGTTCCCGGTAGTGATGATCAAATGGATTATGCAGTGTGTTACTACTGTATCCTACTCATTTCAGGTCAATGGAAAAGCTACAAAGCCATTCCAAGCTAGAAGAGGAGTTAGACAAGGGGATCCCATGTCGCCTTTTCTCTTTGTATTAGCCATGGATTATCTCACAAGGGTCTTAAAAAGCCTTCATACTAACCATGAGTTCCATTACCATCCTAGGTGTAAGAGACAAAAAAATCATCCAACTTAGCTTTGTTGATGACTTGTTGATGTTCTGCAGGGGAGATATAAAGTTTGTGAGCTATCTACATAAATGTTTTATGCAATTTTCAGAGGCTTCAGGACTGGTGGCAAATGTAGATAAAAAGCAGTGTGTATTTTGGAGGAATCAAACAGGTTGTTCAAGGCCAAATACTACAATAGCTTCAGTTTATCAAAGGAGAATTGCCTTTTAGATACCTGGGGGTACCCTTGAGTACTAAAAGAATATCTATATCCCAATGCAAGCCTCTTATAGACAAGATGTTGAGTAAAGTCAATAGCTGGACTACCAAGTTTCTATCCTATGCTGGAAGGGCACAATTGGTTAAGAATGTTTTGTTTACCATGCAGATATTATGGGCACAAGTTTTTGCCTTGCCTAAGAAGATCCTACATGCTGTTGAAAGTATTTGTAGAAGGTTTCAGTGGACAGGGAATGCTGAGGTTTCAAATGAACAGACTTTGCTGCTTATGGATCAATTCTCTATTAGAAATGTTTATAAGAAGATGAGACGAGATATGGGGAAAGTGGAATGGATAGTTACTAGAATGTGATGTTTGGTAGAGCTTGGGGCTGCTTGTCCAAGCCTACTGGAGGATTTTGTTTTGGATTGTTCACTTTGGTAATAAATTTTACTTACCAAAAAACTAATATCATCATATGAGGTACTCGACGACTACACAAGTTAGAAACATATTGTCATAAAATAGTGTGAGTTTCCAGTCAGCTTAATGTTGCTATGACGATTGTACAGTAAAACATCAAGAATTACTTATATTGTGACGAGTAAATTGTAATCGCAAACGAAAATTTACAAGGAACAAAACTTAGTCAAAAAGTTAAAGTTAAGAGAGGAAGAAGAGCTTACATGTTCTAAATGAGTTTGTTATCATCACTTGAAAATCCTTAAATAGCCAAAAGTCAATTTTCTCTGTAAAATTTTATCACGAGTTAGCTTTGAAGAAGCAGAAATTAGAAGAATCTGATATTGACAGAGCTCTTCGCAATATTTTCTCCATTAGAATGAGGTTAGTACTATTCAATAGTGATCCAAATTTATAGACTATTTATCATTCTAAAATTTATCAAACGTGCAAATATATTTCAAGATAAAACAACCAGCAATTAATAGCTTTGCTACGCAGAACCAGAACAATAAATTGATGTTTCAGGTAAGTTTTTACTCACATGGTATAATCAAGGATCCGAATAGTCATTCTCTTGAATTGGAGGCTGATAATTAGGGTGTTGCGCTAAAAAAAATTCTTTTAATTGCTCCAGTTCTTTCATCTCATTTTGAAAGTTAGACATGCAATCCTTCAAAGACTGGTTTTCCTTTTGAGTTGAACGTAGCTCAGCCAACAATTCAGCTTTTGAGGAAGTCCCACCTTTCAAATCTCTTGCTTTTACTCCACCTCCAAAGCCAAATACATGACTACGACTTTGAGGTCCAAATCATTTCTCAACAATTTCTATGCTAGAAAGTGATAGTTCAGACTCCACCAATTCTTGAATTTGAGCCTACAAAGTGTATAGAGGAATTTTTTTTCCAAATCCCATAATAACTAAATGTTAAGAACATGTTCAATTAACCAAACGCACATGCTTCTCGATTGTTTCAGAATCAACTAGTGTGTTATTCTTCTTGCGAGTCTCGTAAAAGATAGTTGCCAAATCTGGTGGATTGCCATCTTTTCCGCCCTTTACATAAAAGTAAACATGTCAAAGAATGGTTCATCAATATTAAGCCAGAAAAAGATTTAATGATAACACCTTTTGATAAATAATCTCTCTAATTGGCTTGCTACCAATATGATGAAGCATCTTTAGCTTAGCTCTATTTATTGCGTTTCTATTGCTTCTCGCCTATATTTGAGTAACAACATTAAATTCAAATGTTATAAATAAATTATCAAAATGAAATTAATATGTCAAACCTGAAAATCTTTTGAAGTAAAATGTTCTTTTACCAACCACTCCCATTTCTTCTTTTCTACCCCCTTAGGCATATTCTTAAGAGCCTCTTGGATAGGCTTACCCTTCACATACTTTTCATGCAATTGACCTCTCCATTTATTCCATAACTCTTTCATCCATCCCAAAACATGATCTCGATGACTATTCATGTCATCACTATCAAATTTATCCTACAATGTATCAAATTGAAACATGAAGGAGCACACTAATTAAGCAGCGAGAATTGTATTAAGAAGAGAGTAGCCCAAGAAGAAATTGAATTACTTAATCCAATTACCTTAACAACAGCCCACATGTGATTTAGCTTTTCCTCCTTAATGTGTTTCCATGATGATACTCCCAAACGGACATATATTACGATCACAAACTATTTTTCCCAAGTGCCTCGAAAATAGATTACTATTCTTCCCAACTATTCGATTATTGTAAAACTGTCACTTTTAGCTTTTGTCCAATATCAAGCGATGCAACTTCTTTGCACTTGTTACTTCCTCGAACTTTTTTATCCATTCAAGTAACACATGAACCTACATTTACATAATTTATAAATGGTAGAAAATATTGTACATATGATAAACTTGTGATCAAATAGATTTCAGAAATGAAAGCATACTTGTTTCAGCTGTTTGGGCAGACTGTTTAACTTGATCAATAGGAGAAATTGGAATATCATAATGCAAACTCTCATTCTCATGAGCCAAGGAAGTTTTATTTGTTGTTCTCAATCCTTGAGAAAAACCTAATGCAAGAAATTATATCAGTAAAAATACTTGAATTAAATTATATTAAATTTGAAAAAAATATATATTTAAGAAATCATACGTGTTTCAAATGTTGGGGTAGACTCCATAGCATCATCAGTAGAAAGAGAAAATGCAACATCAGTTTGCATATGCTCTTTCTCAAAAGACAAAAACTTTTTATTCATTGTTCGCAATCCTTGAGAGAAACCTAATGCAAGAAATTGTATCAATAAAAGTACTTGAATCAAATTAAAATTCAAATTACTGAAAAAGAAAAAAATTTAAGAAATCATACTTGTTTCAAATGTTGGGGTGGACTCCATAACATCATCAGTAGAAAGAGAAATTGGAACATCAGCTTGCATATGCTCTTTCTCAAAAGCCAAAAACTTTTTATTCATTGTTCGCCATCCTTGATCAGCAGAAGGTCTTGACATATTTTGACTAACATAACGATCATTTTGATTGAAAGATCTCCCCTCATTTTCAGAATCTTCAATTGAGCACATAGATTTAAGCCCTTGATACTTCCCTTGAGCACCTAGTGCAAGAAATCATATCAGATAAACATTAACAATAAATTAAATGCAATTCTAAAACACAACAAATTATTGAATCATACTTGATGAATTTGTTTTGATGTATTGCATAAGTTCATCAGTAGATGAAAAAGATGGAATATGTCCTTTCTCAACACTCAAGTAGTTTTTGTTCATTGTTCACACTCCTTGACCATTAGACATAGATTTAAGACCTTTTCCTCGCCCCTTTGCAACCACACCTAGTATAAGAAAATCGACAATAAAAAATTAGTATTAAAATTCCTCGTACAAATTAATAACACAAATAAAAATAAAAACCCATACTTGTTTCAGTAAATTGATTGTACTACATAACTTGATCAGTAGATGGCGAAAATGGAATATCAATTCTTGACACCCCTAAAGACAACATAGATTTAAGCCCTCTTCCTCGTCCCTTTCCTATAGCACCCGGTGCCACACATGCATATTTGGTAGTAGCTTTCACCCTAGATGCCACCTAATTTTCATCCTTGGATGGTTTCATATCAAACCTACCAAAAAACAAAGACAATCTGTTAACAATAAAAATGAAAAAACATTCTAAAAATCATATACTTGGCAAAAAAAATTAAGACACTATAAAAATAATGTACTAACAAAAATCATGTATCAAAATGTATAATAATGAATATGCTAAAGCTTAAGGAGATACTTCACCTCAATCATTCTTTTTCGTTTATTTTGTGAAGAATTTTCTAAATCTTCAAATTCATTGTCTTTTTGTTGCACAATTTCTTAGGAATCACGAGGTTGTACCTTTCTCGCTACACACCAACCTATATTGGAATTATCATTAGCATAAAATACTTGAGAGGCTTGATCAGCTAATACAAAAGGCTCATTTATTTTCAGAAATCGCCCCCAATTTACACTTACAATGCCATACTCATCTATTTTCACTCCTTTTGTCTTATCTTATGCATCAAACTATTTACATTCAAACAAAACAACTCTTCTACCCGTGACTTGCAATTCAAGAACATCGGTTAAAACTCCATAGTAATCAATGTTGTCACTATGTTTATCAGTTTCACCAACAACAACCACACCATAATTTTGAGTCCTTAATTTTTTATCATAAGCTTCTGCATGGAATCTATATCCATTGATAATGTAACCATTATAATGTAATACATATTTAGTAGGACCACGTGAAAGTGCGAGGAGATCTTCCATGATCTGACTATCATCTTTTTTATGCAATTGTGCAACCTATCAACAAGATAAAATTGATCACTTCTAAATGAGTAACTCAATATTAGATTTCCAAATTTGATGTGTGTATATTACTCACCTTATCTTGAAACCATTCAATAAATTGTCTGTTCCATTCATCATCAGACAAGTGTTGAGTAGAATCTACATGAATTTGTGCAAACTCTCTACAAATTTAAATTGAACCACAAATGTCATACAAAAATATAATTCTAAAGAAACAAGGCAATGAAGTGGTAGAACTTCATCGCAATTCTTCAGTATGTATCTATGTGCTTGCTCTAATTCATTTTCTTCAAGATCACGCTGTTTTGGAGCCCCCAATGTTTCTCCAGATTGACAAAATAGAGATAATCCTCCATCGGATTTTTTCAGACCACGATCATAGTTTCATTCTGGCCTATTAAATTTTGTGTCAATTGTATGCAGATACCTTGAACATAAATTCATACATTCATTTGCAATGTAACCCTCTGCAATACAACCTTCTGGCCAAGCCCTATTACCAATGAGAGATTTCAAAAAATATAACCATCGTTCTATAGGATACATCCATCGATACTGGACAGGTCCACCAATCATAGCTTCATTAGCTAAGTGAATAGGCAAGTGCACCATGACATCAAAAAATGAAGGCGGAAATACCCTTTCTAACTTGCAAAGAGTTATAGGAATTTGAGCTTCAACCTGCTCCAAGTCATCAATCCTTAATAACTTAGCTCCAATCATATTAAAAAATAAAGACAATTCAATTAGTGGTTCACACACTTCTTTGGACAACATACCACGTAGTGCAAGAGGGAGTAAATGTTGGAAAAGAACATGGCAATCATGACTCTTTAAACCAGAAATTTTGTGATCTTTCAAGTTAACACACTGAGAAATATTGGATGAAAATCCATCTGGAACCTTTAAATTCTTCAAAAACAGGTAGAAATTGTGCTTTTCTTGTGGAGATAAGGTGTAACATGCAGTTGGAACTTCATATTTTTCACTTCTTTGGATAGGGTGCAACTCCGGCCTTATATTCATTTCTTTCAAATCTAGCCGAGTATTAATAGTGTCCTTGGTTTTTCCTTTGGCATTCATAATTGTCCCCAAAATATTATCACATATATTTTTCTCAATATGCATAACATCCAAATTATGTCGCAACAAAAGAGACTCTCAATATGGAAGTTCAAAAAAGATACTCTTCTTGTTCCAATTATCTTTTCAACTATCATGTGATATTTTGATTCTTTTCTTTGGTTCCTTTGTTATTTGCAACCCTTCAAGATCTTGAACTTGATGAAGAATCTCAATACCAGAACGTTTTTTCGGTGGGAGCCTCTTCTCTTCTGTACCATCAAAGGACTTCTTATCGTTCCTCGATTTGTGATTACGAGGAAGATAATGACGATGACCCATAAAACTTTCTTTCTTACAATTGGCCAATCTGATTGAGGAAGTATCTTTGTTGCAACATGGGCATGCCAATTTTCCTTTGGTACTCAATCCAGATAAATTTTCATATGCTGGAAAGTCATTGATGGTCCATAACAAAGAAACATGTAGCTTAAAATTCTGTTTGGTTGATGCATCAAAGGTCTCAATACCAATATTCCATAGCTCTTTCAATTCTTCTATTAAAGGTTGAAGATATGTGTCAATTGCATCACCTGGACTATCTGGACCAGGAATAAGCATGGACATGATAAAGTTTTCTTGTTTCATACACAACCAAGGTGGTAAGTTATAAGGAATAAGTACCACCGGCCAAATGCTATATGAGGTTTTTGCATTCCGAAATGGTTGAAAACCATCACTCACAAGTCCAAGTCGAACATTACGAGGCTCGGCTGCAAATGAAGGATGAAGTTCATCAAATGATTTCCATGCCATTGAATCAGCTGGGTGCCTCATTATTCCATCATCAACTCTTTCGTCATGATGCCATGTCATTAGAGAAGATGTCTTTGAAGACATAAATAACCTTTGAAGCCTAGGTTTTAATGGAAAATAGCGTAAAATCTTTGATGCAACCTTTTTACCCTTTTTGTTCTTTGCTTCCCCGTTACGTTTATCGACTTTCCATCTAGATTCACCACAAACTTTACAAGAATCAAGTAAGTTATCCTCCTTCCAATATAACATGCAATCATTTCTACAAGCATCAATTCTTTCGTAGGAAAGCCCAAGATTTCGAATTACCTTCTTTGCCCCATAATATGTATTTGGCAAATCGGCTTCATCTGACAACAACTCCTCTTTTAACATTTTTAACAACATTGTAAATGACTCATTACTCCAACAACCCATACTTTTTATGTGAAGCAACTTAATCAAAGTTGAATGTTTTGAAATTTTTGAACCTTGATACAGTGGCTTCTCAAAGTCTCCCAATAGGCTATAAAACTTTTTGGCTTCAACATTTGGTTCCTCTTCAAGTGAATCATCACAATCAACATCTAAAGTGTGTCCATAATGATTAGGATAGAAATCTCTCAAAATTTCTCGTATTTCATCCTCATTCTCACAATTTTCTACTTCATTATCATCTCCATCTTCACATTGTGATTCTGGCTCACCTAAGACTTTCCCATGATGATACCAAAAGGTATAATTTTTAATTATTCCATATACTTTCAAATGTGTTCTGACTGTCTCACGTGTCCTAATGTGGTATTACAACATTTAACACACGGACATCGTATTTCATACATTTCTCCTGTCCTTTGAAAATCATAATTCAAAAAAAATTCCACCCCAATAAAGTAGGCCTCATTAACTCGATCATCAACAAGTTGCATCTATTGCTTACTTGGTGCCATAACCTTGGATTATATATAAGAGTTAGATCAATCATACTTTAGGATAACAAATTTACTAAGATGACCATTACTTTCTATTAAACTAGTCAAATCATCCTAATAATTAAAAAATAAATATCTAAAATTGACTAATAACAGCTTTTCTTTTAATTGAATATGTGCTGCTATATATAATAAAACTAAAAGGTCTTAACAGATGCGACATCCTAAACCTACTAGTGAACTTCAAATAAAGACGATAGGTTTAACTCGCAGACATCCACGTGGATGTCGCATAATATAGTTCAGAACACTACACACTGCGAGTTAAACTATATTATGCGACATCCACGTGAACTAATGACCTTTTTCATGTTTCACAAAGCTAAACTTATCAACAACTTCTCCAACAATTTTTTCTATCAAACTACACGAGGATCCAAACAATTTCAATAAAACATATAGCATCTAATTGAAAACAACAACCACCAAAACAACAATGACAAACAACCACAAATTTCCATGTAGCTTAAGATTTCAAAAATGCGCCACAAGTAGTAACTTTAGAAACCAATATGCAGCACTAGTTGTAGTAGAAAATAACAATTAAAACAACATTTGAACCACCAAATAAAGGAAACTACAATCAAATGCTTTATCAATGCTCATTCACAATTTCGTTTCTTTCTCGTCTAATCTTTTTAGTGTCACATTATACTTAAAAATTGAATACAATAGTTATACAATAAAAAAAACCATTCAAATTCAAAGCACATAAACTGGGAACTGAATTAAAGACACTAATGGTAAAAATATTCTACATATTCATCACCTGAAGAATTTTTTTTTTTGCAATGCCAGCCTTACCAAAATTTCTTGGCAGCCCTAGCAATTATACAACCCTAACAGAGAAAATCTTAAATAAACTCTCAAATATCTCCTCTTTGAACCTCAACACAAGCCTTACCTATAAAACTATCATTTTCAGTCCTTACACAATAACAATGAGTATCTATAAGATCCCAATCACATAAAATTCGACCAGCAGAAAGAAAAATGGCAGATTTACAGAAAAAGAAAAAGGAGGAGATGAATCAGGAGGAATAAACTTACTTTAGATGTAGA